CCCCCCCCCCACACACACACATACATATGCCGTCCTATTGATGCAACCAGCCGTCAGATTCCATCAGTAAGTCTTCAGTTTATGTATAAACTCCGACGAAACAGTTTGTCACAGCCCCTCGTTTGTTGTCCTCTTCTCCCTCTCTGCCTACGGTTTACCGGGCAGTTCTATTTGACGATATATATGCATATACAAAATTGTTGTTGCAAGTAATATTCATCTTTCACTGGGCGTCGCCGCACGGGACACGAAACGAAAAACGAAACGAGTGCATCTTCCTGCAGAAAATGGCCAGGTTCATCGGTTTGCTATAAATAGTAACGAGTGTATTTCGGCGCCTTTCGTGGGCAGATGCACTCGTTTCGTGTTCCGTGCGGCAAGACCGACTGTAGTTCCAATTGTCTCAATCCAACGGAGAGAGGCAGGCAGACAGACAGACACAGCCACGCAAAGAAACACGGATAAAAAAACAGGGGAAGGTAGTATAGAATGACTGACAAACAGAATGCTTGGCTGATTGATAGGCAGATGGAAAATACTAATTAGCATTCAAGCCAATCATTCTGTTTTGATGGTCAGAAAGAAATTGCCTGATTGATAGGCACAGTTGAAATCATGCCACCAACACCAGGTTTTTTTTTTTTTTTTTTTTTTTTTCCCCAAAGTCAACACCAGTTTGATGCTCCAGAGACACTTGAACACTAATAAGCTTTTCTACCTTTTTTTTTTTTTTTTTTTTCCAACACAGACACGGCCGCTTCTATTCTGGGGGGGGCACCAGTCCGGTTGCTTATCACTGTTCGAACAGGTTTCAATAACCAGATCGGGAAAATCAGGGGGCGCATCGTATGGTCTATGTAGCTAAATATCTGGCTGGATTTTGAGGTGGGAATTGTTTGTGTAGATTGAGACAAAAAAGAAAAAGAAGAAAAAATGGCAGGCAGGTAAAAACAGAGAGAATGACTGGATGAATAACAGGCAGATAGAAGTAGAAGGCAAGAAAAAGAAAAAGAAAAAGAAAAAGAAAAAGACAAAGACAAAGACAAAGAAAAAGAAAAAGACAATTAAAGGAATCGAGAAATCAAGGAAGGAAGCAAAGGATGAATGGATGGAATATTCGGACTCAAGGGACAGCATCTGAAAATGAAAGTGAGGCATGAGGAGGTTCTAGAGGTAGGCCGAGCTGGTACCAACCACTCGGACTGCATGTACCTGGCCAAAAAAGACGCTCAGGTGCTCCCAGTGAGGCCTAGTGGTGAGAAAAGGCCTTGGGGGAACCTCGGTTCACTTTGGGTTGTTATTGCTACGTCAGCAGCAGGCCTATCTTCTATGCCTCCTGCTGACGACTACACGTACCAACGGGCCCGTTGCTGACATCAGCATCGGGCCTATCTTCCATGCCTTCTGTTGGCAACCACACTGAGGTTGCGTCCTCCTCTGCAGTGCATCACCATCAGGATGTCCATCGTTGTCACAATGATGTCCTTCTCCTCCTCGGCCTCCTCTCTCCTCCTCTTCTCCTCCTCTTCTCCTCTTCTTCTCTTCCCCTTCTCTTCGTCCAATCAGGACCTGGCGCACTGTGCCATGCTCGTAGCTGCCAACTGATTGGTGCTGCTTCCTAACAACAGCCAAAACTGCTGCAAACCCGTCTGCGAAACCATTCGCAAAACCCGTTGCAAAAACGTCTCCGGAAATCATTACATAGAGTGGCCAGTGTGCAGCATTGTGCTGAAGAGTGATG